ATCGAGGAATGACCGCCGGTGAAAAAGAAACATGGCGTCGGATATATGTTTTTTTCTTGATCCTGCTTTCAGCCTGCGGCGGCTTCTTCCCACTCGGGAGGAGCAATTTTTCGCCACCAGCTGTGCCACCAGCAGCTACCGAGTCAAGGATGAGTCGCCGAAGTGCGCCGCTTGCTTTATCAAAAGGAACAGAAGAAGAAACACATGCACACACACACACACGCACACACACACACACACATGAAGTTTTTTCGGAGCGCGCCGGGTGCTGCGCCGGAGGCGCCGCCAGGGGGGTCCAGCGCCGATCCAAGAAATCTGCCCGTAGCTGCGAAAGTTTGTATGCTCATTCTGCCCCTACGAGCAGCGAGAACTATACATATCAGCTGCCCTTGACCAGGCTCATCATGGGCCCAAGGCGGTATATACGCCCTCCTGGCTTGGCCAGCACTCGGCTCCTGGGCCAAGGACGTGCCTGGCTGAGGGCAGTGGATACGCATAGGTCTCGCCGCCCGAGGCTCATCGCGGGCGGTCGAGGGCTCGTTCGCTCGCTCGCTCCCTGTCCGCTCGAGGGGGCGTCGCTCGTTGCCTTGCCATCCCTCGGACGTCCATTGCCCGCGCACTGTGTCGGCTCCGTGCGCGCACCCCTTCCCAGAGCTGCCTTCGCCGAGACGAGAACGCGCCCGAGCGATGCCACGTCGAGGGGGGACGTCGCTCGCTGTCGTCGTCGCCGCCGCCAGAGGGGCGAGCGAGCAGGCTCGGGTCGGGCGAAAGGGGGGGATAGCACAGGGGGGGCTTGAGAATCAGCTCACGTATAGCTGATTTTCTCAGCGCCTCGCAGCGCCGGAGGCGGCCATGTATCGAGGAAGGGGCCCCTCGGCAAGGCCGAAACCAGCTGCATGCAGCAAATTTCGTTACCCCCCCCTTCCCAACCCTGATGGTCCGCTACCGAAAATTTCCGGTAGCGCTCCGCAGAGATCGGTCGCTACCGAAATACCGAAATGTAGCGCCCAATACCGGTATCAGACCGTTCTGAAATCCGCTATTTCAACGCCCTCAAACGAAGATCCGGTCGCTACCGAAATTCGGGGTGCGTCGAAATCGCTACCGAAAATTTCCGGTACCAGACCATCTGGGAATCCCCCCCTTTCGTCCGGCCCGACAGGCCGAAGCGCGGACGGCCCTCGCGGGGGCGGCCTCGGCACACCTCGGCTCGAAGTGCACCGCCAGCTGGTAGTTGATGAGGGCCTCCGCGGCCCGCGGCCGGCCCGTCCGCCCTGGGAGAGGCATCCCTCCTTCTGCACCCCATCCCCTTTCCCCTCGCTCCTCCTTCCTCCTCCCTCCTCCTCCCTCCTCCTTCCTCCTCCCTCCTCCCTCCTCCTCCCTCCTCTTCACTCCTCCTCCTCCGCCTCCTCCTCCTACTCCAACTCCCTCCTCCTCCTCCTCCTCCTCCTCCTCCTCCCCCTCCTCCTCCTCCTCCCTCCTCCTCCTCCAACTCCCTCCTCCTCCTCCTTCGTAACTTGAGACCCAATTTGCGTCGGATCCACGTCGGATTGACGTCGGAGTTACGTCGGAGTCACTTTGAATCCACGTCGAACTTGCGTCGTAGCATCGCCGCGCGAACGCCGACCCATATGATACCGGTGAAAAACCCAATCAGGGCTATAGGCCTAGGGGGCTATAGGGCTATTGAGCTATAGGGCTATAGAGCTATAGGTCTATAGAGTTGTAGGGCTATAGGGCGATTGGGCTGTTGGGCTAATTATAAGGCTATAGGGCTATAGGGCACTCCCGGGCACCCCCAGGCACCCCCGGGCACGCCCGGGCACCTGGGCACCAGGGCACCCGTGCACCAGGGCACCCCCAGGCACGCCCGGGCACGCGCGGGCACCCGGGGACCCGGGCACCCCCGGGCACCCCCGGGCACCCCCGGGCACCCCCGGGCACCCGGGCACCCCCGGGCACCCGGGCGTGCCGCGAAAATCGGCGGCAAACCTAACCTCACCATATGAATCCGCTGGGACCCCTACAGAAGCAAGCTCTGATTTGGGAATCTTACGAACTGGACGTGTGGACTAGATGGTATATGTATTGCGCGTTGCGCGACGCCTCCAGATTTCAAGATCGGTCAGCACCTAAATAAAGACATCGGATCGAATCGAACGTGCCTTCGGGCCACGCTGGCGAGGAGCCAGAATCAAGTCGTGCCGGCAGCGCCAGGATTGGCAGCGCCAGGACGCCCAAAAGTGCCGTGCAAGCATCTGGCTGCATCCAACCGTCAGAATATCGGAATCCAGCCGTACTGGGCTGGCCAGAATCGAAACCGAAGCGGATCGATCGTTTCGACCTGGACGCCAGAGCGCCCTGTCTGGTAGGCTCCCGGCCCTCCTGGCCCGCGAAATGGAAATCGACCGCGGGCCTTGGCGTGCTTATGCTGCTCGGCGTAAGAAACTCCCAGGTTGTAGTAGGCGTTGGCGTTCGCGGGGGAGAGGACCAACGACTCCTGGCGAAGCGGCGCGGGAAACTGTCCCCACCCATCACCCGGAGGAAACAGACGTGGGCCCGCTGGGCAAATTTCTGGGGGCGCGGCAACACAAAACGCCAGAAAAATTCCGTTTGTGATCCGCCCCTCGCTGCTTACGGTTGCACTATTTCGATAATCCTCTTCTCAGGCCCTCCACCATGCGCTCAAGATAAACCAACGTACCCGTTGCCTTGAATCTCTCTCTCTCTCTCTGCCTCTCTTTCTGTCTCTTTTCCCCGCCCGACAGGTTGGGGTCATCAGAACTGAAAAGCAGACCTCCCGACCCGTCCACCCTGCATACCGCGGCCGCCAGATACCCAGGTCCCCCGAGTGTCCCCGAGTGTCCCGCCTCGCGCCGCTCTGCATACCGCGGCCGCCAGATCCCCAGCTCCCCCGAGTGTCCCAGAGTGTCTCCCAAGTGTCCCCGAGTGTCCCGCCTCGCGCCGACTCGCCCGCTGTGCATACCGCGGCCGCCAGATACCCAGGTCCCCCGAGTGTCCCCAAGTGTCCCGCCTCGCGCCACTCTGCATAACGCGGCCGCCAGATCCCGAGGTCTTCAAAGGGTCCCCGAGTATCCCGCCTCGCGCCGACAGTTCTTAACATGGCAGAGCGGTGTTATAAACTAGCAGAGCTTAAATACAGTACAACGCTATAAGGTAGGACATAAACTATCGTAACACCACACCACCTAACAGAACATGTCCGAGCATAACATACGGTAATATGGCTTAACATGTCGTAACATAGCACATCATGACAGCACAGTGCACACCATAGCACAACATCACAGTACAGTGCATGGCACAAAGTGGCAATGCAATCGTATTATAAGTTCACATCGCAAAACGAAACACACCGACACAGAACTTACCACATCCTCATACAACATGACATGCCACATCATTGCCCAGCACAACACACCAAACGCAGGGAATGTCAGATAGGAGCATACGTAACATAACCTAGCAGAGCATACCAGCACATTGCATAGCATGGCATAACCCAGCACAGCATAACATACCATGACATATCACACCACAACATGCGCGGCCAAGTGCGGCCCCCAAGTGCGGCCCCCATGTGTGGCAACCCCAGGCACCGCCCGCTGCATCCAGCCGCGCGCGCCTCCTGGTAAAAGTAAGAACGTCGACCCCGCCCACCCCCTCACCCTGACGCCAAGAGACTGGAAACACACGTGGCAGGATATACATGTGGAGCGTCCTGAGGCCACGCGCTGGATATGTACGTACACGTGCAGAAGCCCAGTCTACACGGCCAATTAGAAGGCCGAGCGCTGGGAAGACCCCTGGCTACGTGTGTATCCAGCCCTGTGAGGCCCCGCCTTCTTTTTCCCTTCCTCTGTTAATTAAAGCTGTGCGCGGCACGCTTAGCTTCGACCGGAAGAGGCTCGCTCTCGACCCGCGAATCAAAAATTAGCCTGGCGAAAGACCCAACCATGCGCAGTTGTGACTACCGCACTTGCGAATAACATCTTCGCCCGCGCTCCCGATGCGGCCACAACTTCCCGCCCGAGCCCGACATGTTCAGGGGCACGTTCGTGGCCGTCTTCGCGGGCGCCGACGACGACGAGGACGGCGTCCCCCTGACCGAGGAGCAGAAGCAGGAGAGGGCTCTGAGAGCCATGAGGGAGGCTGCCGCTGGGGCCTTCGGTGGAGCTCCCTATGGGGCCACGATCCTCGTGAGGGGTGTGCCGAAATGGCCCGAGGCCGCCATGCGAACCCTGCCACTGGGGCCTTCGGTGGAGCTCCCTATGGGGCCACGATCCTCGTGAGGGGTGTGCCGAAATGGCCCGAGGCCGCCATGCGAACCCTGCCACTGGGGCCTTCGGTGGAGCTCCTATAGGGCCACGATCCGCATGGGGGGTGTGCCGAAATGGCCCGAGGCCGCCATGCGAACGCTGCCACTGGGGCCTTCGGTGGAGCTCTCTATGGGGCCACGATCCTCGTGAGGGGTGTGCAGAAATGGCCCGAGGCCGCCATGCGAACGCTGCCACTGGGGCCTTCGGTGGAGCTCCCTATGAGGCCACGATCCTCGTGAGGGGTGTGCCGAAATGGCCCGAGGCCGCCATGCGAACGCGGCCACTGGGGCCTTCGGTGGAGCTCCCTATGGGGCCACGATCCTGTCCGCCATGCGAACGGGCCACTGGGGCCTTCGGTGGAGCCCATATGGGGCCACGATCCTCGTGAGGGGTGTGCCGAAATGGCCCGAGGCCGCCATGCGAACGCGGCCACTGAGGCCTTCGGTGGAGCTCCCTATGGGGCCACGATCCTCGTGAGGGGTGTGCCGAAATGGCCCGAGGCCGCCATGCGAACGCGGCCACTGGGGCCTTCGGTGGAGCTCCCTATGGGGCCACGATCCTCGTGAGGGGTGTGCCGAGATGGCCCGAGGCCGCCATGCGAACGCGGCCACTGGGGCCTTCGGTGGAGCTCCCTATGGGGCCACGATCCTCGTGAGGGGTGTGCCGAAATGGCCCGAGGCCGCCATGCGAACGCGGCCACTGGGGCCTTCGGTGGAGCTCCCTATGGGGCCACGAAACCGTGTGAGGGGTGTACCGAAATGGGCGAGGAGGGGAGGAGGAGGAGAGTATGAGAGGAGACGCGGGCCACCGTCTCTTCAAAACGAGGACCCAACACCACAGGATGGTTGGAACGCAAGGAAGAGGGGGAGGAGGGAGCAGGAGGGAGGAGGGAAGAGGAGGAGAGGAGGGGAGACGCGGGCCACCGTCTCTTCAAAACGAGGACCCAACACCACGGGATGGTTGGGAAAAACGTGTGTATCCAGCCCTCGCCCAGGCCAGCGGCGTCTTGCACCCAGCTTCGTAGACAGAAGAGGGGAGAGCGACATGACAAGAGGGATGTAGAGAGACAACGGATGGGCTACAAACCGCGCGAGGACTACGACTGCTTCGAATCAGAGGACTAGGGGAAGCAGCGCAAGCGGCCGACTCCGGAAACACGGAGCCCCAAAACAATTGGCGTCTTGCTTATAATTCTGCCGCCTTCCGCCGAGCTTCCGCCGGCATCCGCCGGCCGGCCTGCCGCCAGTCCCCTTCTACCGAGGACGAGACGACGAAGGCGAGGGCCTTGCTGCAACGGTCTGTGGTGCGGCCAGAGCATACGGATGAGCGGTATGCAAGGCCCTGAACGCCAAAGTTGAAGCCGAAAAGCCCATGGCCCATGGCTACAGGCTGGGATGGCCCGAAACGAAAAGATGCAAAGGCGCCCTTGGAAAGACACTCGTTTTCACGACACAGTCTGACTGTACATACTTCGAGTGCCGTTCGCTCTGCAGCGTAAGAGATCTTATGGAAGCACAAGCTGGAAGGGCGATTTGTCGCCCTCGGCATGGAATAGGCAGCGGAATGGACAACAGCCCGTGCCACAGGCCTTGTCCTCCTCTGGGCCGCAGCCCAACGTTCGGGCTCTCGGCACAGATCGAATCTCCTCCCACCTCCTCCCCCTCCTCCTCCTCCTCCTCCTCCTCCTCCTCCTCCTCCTCCTCCTCCTCCTCCTCCTCATCCTCATCCTCATCCTCCTCCTCCTCCTCCTCCCCCTCCTCCCTCCTCCTCCTCCTCCTCCCCTCCTCCTCCTCCTCCTCCTCCTCCTCCTCCTCCTCCTCACTCCTCTCCTCCTCCTCCTCCTCCTCCTCCTCCCCTCCCCCTCCCCATCCCCCTTCCCCTCCCCCTCCCCCTCCCCTCCCCTTCCTCCCCTTCCTCCCCTTCCTCCCTTCCTCCCTTCCTCCCCCTTCCTCCTCCCTTCCTCCCCCTTTCCTCCCCCTTCCTCCTCCTCCCCTCCTCCCCTCCTCCTCCTCCTCCTCCTCCTCCTCCTCCCTCTCCCTCCTCCTCCTCTCCTCCCTCCTCATCCTCTCCGCCTACCGCCTCCCGCCTCTCCTCCTCCTCCTCCTCCTCCTCCTCCTCCTCCTCCTCCTCCTCCTCCTCCTCCTCCTCCTCCTCCTCCTCTTGCGCTCTTGCGCTCCTCAGCGGTCGTCCCGATGACACAAGACGCCCGCCCTTTACATGAATCGGAAACTCAGCGCCTGAGGGGGACAGGGATAACCGCCTCCAGTTTAGAGTGCGAGGGATCCTTCCCCTGCTTCAAAATCCCCAGGGCTTTCCGTTTCCACTCAGTGTCGGGGTTTCCCGCACGCTCTTTGCACAACTCCTTGACCTTCAAACGGGCATACGCTCCACAGCGCACGCACCAGGTCAGCCCTCCATTCTGCCAGAGACGATGGGCGAGGTGGGCCTGGGACACAATCCTCGGACGCCCAGGACACGGCAGCTGCACCAGCCGAGAGCGAATCGCCCGCGCCAGCCCACAGACACCACATCCCCACCCACCGCCAGGAGCCTGCGAGACAACGTGACCCTTATCATCTGGGACTATCTCTAGAATCGGGGCCTCCGAATTTCTAGGCTCTCTTTTGGCACGCTCAGAGTATGATGATACATCAGGATCGCCCAGTTGATGGACATGCTTGAGAACTGCCACCATATATCTGGAGATGAGCGTAACCTGATCATGATGATGCCGCAGACGATCCCGAAGGTGATGATTTGCTGGATGCGCCTTTGCACCTGTCTTGGCCCAGGAGTCCGCCTCCTGGTTGCCCCTGAACCAATGAGGCTCGTAGCCTCTTCGTTGCGCCGCCGCCTCCGACATATGCGAAGGCATCCAGCACGCGTTCACCGAATTTGCTCCGACGTCCTCGATCCTCATCCAGATGAGGCGCCAGAGCTCCGCGTAGCACTTGTTGGATTTTACCGCCCCTCCCTTCCCATGTTCCACCCGTCGTAGACCATTTTACAATCCGTTATGATGTGGATACTGGGTCCCATGAGGCACAGCGCCATGTAGAGGGCGTAAAGCTCACTGGACGGCACGTCCTGCACTGGGAGAGGGGAGGGACCGTAGGCCACTGCGTCCACCTGCGTACTCGGGCTGATCGAGACGACCGCC